TTTTATTGAGTGTCGTACACTCTTTGTCATTAGTTTAGCCTCTTATGACGCGAATTCATTCGAAATTTTTTAAATTTCAGTTCATCCTAATATTATTTTCTGGTTCCGCCCCTGCTATCGCATGTGTCATTTCTCATGATTTCTTTGAATATTTAAGGAGAAAACCCATGCTTATAATAAAGCATGTTTACTGTCACAACTCTTTACTGCAAAGCACAAATGTCTAATAGATGCCTTCAACTGTTAGAAAAATATAGAAATATGAAGGAACTTAAGCACGTTCATGCACAGGTGATAACATGTGGACTTGAAACCAATAGCTTTGCCCTCAACAGAATCCTGGCTTTCTGTTCAGACCCATTTCACGGAAGCCTGTCTTATGGGTACAAAATCTTTGAACAGATTCAAAACCCCACAATCTGCGTACGCAACACAATGATCAAAGCTTGTTTACTCAAAGATGAATACATTAAATCGATTCAGATATTCAAAGACATGTTGAGAAATGGCATTTGTCCTGATAATTACACACTTCCTTATGTGCTAAAAACATGTGCAAAGATGAAAAAGATTGGATCTTGGGAGTTGATTCATGGGTATTGCTTGAAATTGGGTTCCTTGTTTGATAATTATGTGGGCAATACTATGATTCTCATGTACTCTGCTTTTGATGATATGGAAGCAGCAAAATGTGTGTTTGATGAGTTTTCTTGGCATTGTGTTGTTTCATGGACAGTTTTGATTTCTGGGTATGCTAAAATTGGGGATGTTTACACAACAAGATTGGTTTTTGATGAAGTTCCATTGAAGGATAGAGGGATTTTGGGTGCAATGATTTTAGGGTATGTGCAGAGTAATTGTTTCAAAGAAGGATTAAAATTGTTTAGGCTAATGCAATTGAGTGGCAATAAACCTGACGAAGCAATATTTGTTGGCATATTATGTGCTTGTGCTCATATGGACTCTCTTGAAATTAGGATATGAATTCATAGTTATGTATAGAAATTGAGATTGCCATTGTGTGTTAAATTGGGAACTGCTCTTATTGACATGTATGTGAAATGTGGGCGGTTGGGTTTAGCTGATGAAGTGTTCGATGAAATGCCGAACATAGATGTTGTTACTTGGAATTCCATGACCTCAGGATATGCTATGAATGGGAATGGAGATTGTGCACTTGAGATGTTTAACCAGATGCAAAAGGTTGGAGTAAGACCGGACGATGTTACGTTTATTTCTTTGTTCACTGCTTGTAGCTACTCAAACATGGCATATGAAGGTCTGAATTTGTTGTATATTATGCTGAATGTGTACAACATTGAGCCCAAAAGTGAGCACTATGGATGCATAATTGACTTTCTTAGTTGTGCTAGGCTTATCCAAGAAGCAAATTATGTAGTGCAGAGAATGCCGATTTCAAGTGCACCCTCTGAAGCAGCAATAGCTTGGAGGGCATTACTTAGTGCCTGCTGTAGACAAGGGCAAATCAATGAAGCAGAAGTTG